ATCGAGTTTGACTTTGTAAACGACCGGCCGGCGAAAAAAACGTCATGAACGTTAAACAATAATCGTCGAAAGCAAAACAAAAAAAAACCGTTATCGTTTTTTACCGTTCAGACAACAGCCAACGAGGTTCAACCGGTCGTCGTCGTCGTCGTCGGCTTTCCAAATGTCGGCCAAAAGAAAACAAGGATTGAAGGTATTAAACGGATCCGATTATTATTGTGTATCAGATGCAATCGGAAGTGATAGGAACCAAAAAAGGGTATACAAGTGACTTTTACAACAAAAAAAAAAATTCCATTGTAAATTGTGTTGAATTTAATTTATTTTCATCATTCTTTATTATTCTCTCTAACAACAAAAATAAAAAAATTTAGAAAATACTATCAAACAATTACAGAATAACAGTTTATCGACTAACTTGTACCCTTTAGGTTCTGTATCACTTCAGTCTTATTTGTAGTTTTACCATTATCAAACTACCCTTTTAAATGGGTGTTGTTTCTTAAATTTTGTTTTATTTTTTCAATGATTTTGATGCAGGTAATTTGTCTTGTCTCTCTCTCTCTTTATACCGCATTTTATCTAAAATAGATATAAGTACACTATAATTGGTCACACTCATCACGTAATATTATAACATAAAATGCCTGATAACTGAACAATGAGTAATAACACCAATGTGTTTAGTCGACCAACACTCGAGCGGCGGCAATGATGCGCGTTGTACAAGAATAAGAAGTATTAAATTTGCGGGGAGTGGGCCAAGACGGGAAAAGTTTTACCAGAGGAAAACGTTGTGGGTCTCCCAATAAATAGCTGCTGTAATTACTTTTGCAATGGTGTTTGATCGAACGGGGTTAAGTTAAACGGCGGGTCGGCGAGGAATAATTTTTAAAAAACGGCGGGCTCCGGTTTACAGCTGGCCGTGGCGCATGTATTATTTAAATATCCGCACCGCGCATTGTGTCTTTGAATAATCCACAGAGAGAGAGCGCGGTTCGCACTTAACGGCCGCCGTGGCCGTTTTGGCGGCAATTCAAAAAACGGCCCCTAAGTACGCTTTGTCGTGTTGGCTTACAACCCGTATCCCGCGAATTAGATTACCGCAAAACCTAACACACGGTGCCCCCACCCTCCCCACCGGGTTGTAAACCACACAAAGGGCTATCCGAGACAACAACTGTGTCTTAAAAATAATTGCCATTTTCTACGATTTTTTTTATTTAAAAAAAAAAACAAAATGTTTGTCCATGTTAACCGTCGACTAATGTAAATGTGTACCTTATGCTTTTGTCAACTATAAAACGGTAACTTACTTTTGTTTAATTCCACGCTTAAATCGACAGTGTTCGGCTGAAATGTTTTCCATAATTACCTACTACATGTAAAGTTATTGAAGTGTACAATTCCATTTTAGGACGGCTGAATTAAAAAAAAACAATACTACACTTCACCCTCAGTGCCATGCCGTCTTAAATTTTGAAACTTAAACGAACATTTTCAGCAAATTACTTTGAAAATAGTAAACTAAACGTTACCATTTAAGTAGAAAAAACCACCAAACGAGAATATGAAATTAGACATTACATTAGTTACCAAAACGTTTCCCAAAAGAAAATCCACCCATTTTTTTGTATTGTTTTCAAAGAAAATGAGCGTCTTGCGCTGTAAATGGATCACAATTTCGAAAATGTTTTTGTTTTTCGAAATTCACTTATCGTTCTAGCATATTTAAGTGTGTAAAACAATAGATTCACCACAATGACAACATTACGTACAAGGCTATTGTCGTCTCAAACCGTCAGTTCCGGTGGCGCGGCTTCGGTTCCGGTCAACCTTTGGCGTTATTTTTTTTATCTTTTTTTTTTATTATTATTTTTTTTTAAAAATTTTTTTTAGTTTTCGCTCTTGTGAACTTTGTGCGCGCCACCGCCACACGTACGCGGCACGAGCTTCGGTCCGCTTGACGTGTGCCCGTTGCGGTGCGGCGGTGCGGTGGTGAGGGATATATATATACAAACACCGATCCGGGGCACCGCGGGAGAGTGGCGGGCCAGCGGACGCGAGGGGGTGAGTAGGATGATAGTTTCGACGGTCGTCCGTGGGACGGGGGGAGGGGAGGCGGCGGCGGATAACCGTGGCGGTAACGGGACCCCGAGGGGAGGGCGCGCACAGACAGTTTTTGACCACCGCCGCCGCGGCCGCCTCCGATTTATTTTCACCCCTCCGCCGCCGCGCCGTAGGGCTCTTCCCGCCGCCACCCCTATCCGCACGGCCACTGTCGGTTACCCTTTTCGGACCCTCGTCGTCGCCACACGCACACACACAACACACGTTGCTAAAACCGCCCGGACCCGAGCCCAAAACCCCTGTCCCCTGCCCCCTGCCCCCGCCGTACACACAGCAATAGCTGTCTGTCTGTCCTACGGCTTTACGTGTACGTGTACGTGTGTGTGTGTGTGTGTGTGTGTACACGCACTAAAGCCCCGTCCCCTCGCACCCCGCTTTCAAATCCTTTTGCTCCACTCGCCCGCCGGCCCGTGGGCCTTTACACGCGCGTTGCCTTCACACCCCCGTCACGCGGCTCTCTAAACCTACACACACACATACATATATATATATTTACCCTTAACCCACCCCCTCCCCTCCTCTTCCACGGTCGTCCGTCGCGCATCTCTAACCTCTCCTGCCCACACACACACACACACACACATACCCACGTGCACGTATGTTTATATATATATATATATATATATGTGCGTGTATGTGTACAAGGCCGGCTAATGTTTCCAACGGCGGTGCCGCTAAACCCCCCGCGCCCCTCTCGTGCCAACACCCCGACCCGCGCCTTCCTTACGTCGTCGTATCCGTTGTGTTTGCGAGCAAGCTTTCCTGCCCCCGGACACCTCGTCCTCTTCCTCGTCCTCTTCCGTCTCCCTTTGGTCATAGTAAAAACCCACCGCCCGCATTCCCTTGCTTACTACCCGCCGCCGCCGACTATCTCCGTAGAATTCCCTAGTCGTACATTCGGTATATATATATATATATAAATGTGTATATACACGCGAGACTAGGGATACGAGTGAACCTTTTTTGACCGGCTACGTTTTGGTCCCTTTGGCTTACCCCCCCCCCCCGACGTCGTCGTCCCCGTCCGCGGCCGGACATTTGGCACTGTCCTACTATACACCTTAGGACCCTTTGCGTTTCGGATAACGGAAAGCTACGGGGGGCGGGTGGGGTTAAGGCGAAAAAAAAAAAATAAAAGTTTACTCGGTTTTATATATATATATATATATATATATATGTATATAAAGTAACATGACATAGCACGGCGCACCTCCCCTCCGCTCGCTTTCGCGTTAAGACTTCTACCGCCCCTCACCCCACGCTCCGTTCGACCCATCTACAATATATATATATATATATATACAGCTTTTAATGCTGCCGACCCGACGGCGGTCCCTTTAGCGGCACTGCCACCGGTCGCTTCACTTGCCCGCCGTCGTTCCTTTAGACCTTCGCCCGTTTCCTCCTCAAAAGTAATAAGTAATCCTACACGGGCCGCAGCCGCCGCCGCCGCCTCAGCCGCCGTCCGTATCCTATGCATATATATATACAATATGGTAGACAACGTCCCGCGGGTCCCCCCGTAGCCGCTTCCCGTCCCGCCACGGGTTAGGTTACTCTCCCGGAAAGCCCTCGGCGCGTCTCATCGTCCGTATCGTCGTCGCCGCCGCCGTTGCTAACCTACATAATAATAATAATATTATTATTATTTGTACACCCTATTTTGCATCCTCTTTCGGCCACCTTAGGCTGTTAAGTTGAAAAAATGTTTTAAAAAAATACCAACAACAACCCCAAACGATCCACTGTTACCGTAACTCTTGAAGCCTGGGCAGTACAGCAGACTGTGCTGCTAATTGCAGCAATACCTTCGGGTCCGAGTTAGAAGCTGTACCGCCTGTAACGGAGTTACAGAGAAACAATAATTATTTTAGCTGAAAAAAAAAAAGTCCTTAATAAAATCCGTTTTGTATTTAACGATAAAAAATGATTACATACATACAGGTCGGAAATGTTATTTTAAAGGGTAATAATATTAATGATAGGGATGGCTTGGGAATTTGAAATAGCAACCTGTGTGTACTTGTGAAATAAGAGATAACGACGACTGGTCGATAACCAGTTTTGGATAAATATTTCTCGAGTTATCTGCATTTAAATATACAGGCAGTGGGCGAAAAAGACTGCAATATTATTATTTACATAGAAAACCGCACTTCCTCCGTCGCCTAATTAAAATGTGTGCATTGCTCTTTGACTTACTTTTAACAACTACCTTTCAAAGCACCCGTTTTCGAAATCCGTCGTCCCCTTTTTTGGGTTTTTTTCGAAAAGTAATTGACTTCAAGCTAAAATAATTTTGTAAATTCACTAGTAGTGTAGCTATGGTTAATTATTTTAGGGAATTTATCGCTTTTCCAGACCATCAAATCGCCCTTGGCAGTCTGTACCCTACTGCACAACGTTCTTAACACTATTTTCCTTGCCTAAACATAGCAGAGTATAGTTTACTCAGTCCATTTTTAAACCGAAAGATACAATTTTAAAGCCAACGATGTTGTATCTTTTTTTCCAATATATTTAAGGCATTTTTTTCTTTTTCACACAGTGACGTTTGATAGAAAAAAAAACAAGAATAACCTTAAAAAAAAAAACACTCTAACGAGACAAAAAAAGGCAGGGAAAGTTATAGTATAGCCCGGGTAGTCCGGACTGTGCTAATTGCGTTACTCTGAGAAACGAGTTAGACTACCTTATAGTCTGAGGTAGCGCCAGGTGGTATTGTAAGACTCGGACGGTCCAACTAGCCTGAGCACGCATGTAGAAAATCACTACCTGCACTATTCAAATGCCCTGGTCCTACAATACTAGCTGAACGCCTCTATTATACTTTATACTAACAAGATATTCTTATTTGTTTTGCCCAAAAGGATAAAGGAACGGCAGCAGCAGCTTTGTTACACCACAGGAGAATGAACGGCGGCGGCGGCGGTGGTGGAGATCTTCACCACAACCAACACCATCGGCCCCAACCGCACCACCGGAGCGCACCCAACGGTAACGGCACGGGATTGCTATCGCCATCGGTAAGTTTATAATACCTATTATTGTCATACTCAACACAATATACAATAACAACTGTTGTGTTGTATTGCCCACTGTACAATTTACCATGGTATACTTATTATATAGGTATACCTTCAGAGTCAATCCCCCATTTGATGTCGAAGATAAGTGTTTTCTACCCTCTAGTCCAACCCTCACCGGTCATATGCGTGCGCCCTGTCAATATGAAAATAATTTATGACGGGGGAAAAAATGCATTTTTTTTTTTTTTTTTGGAATGTTATATTTTTATACAGTTGTACAACTGGGTCACACCCTTCGAACACCCGGGGTTTGAGCGTTAGAAACGGATTACCATGACTGTAATTCAACTAAAGTTCAAAATTTCTCTGAAACCTACAACTTATAAATCCAATCATTTCTCAATAGTTTGAGCTGCTCAAGTTTAAAAAAATAACAGTACTGGTAAAAATATATCATGACGATTCTTGTACCTTCCAAGTTATAATAAACCTGTTTTCGGTTTTTATTTTTTTGTTACACTTTGACCGTAGTCAACTCTCGGGTCGCTATGCGCGAATGAAAACAACAGTCAACGGGTAATGAAAAAAATTCCATTATATTGCTAATTACCGTAAATAGGGTAACTATGACAATACATTTGTACAGACAGACGATCAACCCTAATACTAAAAATCTATTTTAAACATACAACTGTAATTGGCTACTATGCTTTTATCGATATTTGTACTTTTATTTGTAAACATTAGACCTCCCTTACTTAATCAGTTACTACTACTATTATAATACTTTCATTACTGTGCTGGTTTATATTGTACTTGGTTTGGACTTACTGTCCACAGATTCGCATCGAAGCGTTTATTTAAAAGTGACTTAATCACTTTCAGTTAGGTTAGATTTGGTTAGGTTTGGTTAGGTTAGGTTTACTCTCCGTCCCCTCTTCAAATCAAGTCAATTAATTTAAGTTTTTTTGGTTAATTTTCCAGAACTTGTCTTTGAACCACATGTCACCGACACAGCCGACACCGCCTCACCACTTCCATCGCCACTGGCTGGACAGCGTCAGCAGTGCCGGTGCCGCCGGCACGCCGACCGGCCTGCCGGCCGGTATGATGATGCCGCTCGGCATGGGCGGCGAATCGGCATTGGACATGGACAACGCCGTGGCGGCCGCGTATAACCGTTTGTTGGCCGACTTGCACCGCACCAGCAGCCACGGGCTGGTGGCCGGCAGCCATCCGGCGACGGCGGCGGCGGCCGCTCTCCTGTTCAACAACCCCGCCGCCACTTCACCCCCTCTGCCGTTGCCGCCGCAGCATCACCAACACCAGTTGACTCACCATCAGATACAGCAACACATTCAGCATTACGCGGCGGCCGCCGCCGCAGCAGCCGCCGCCGCCGCTTCGGCGGCACCCAACGCGTCTCTGGCGGACGCGCTGGTCGGCTCGTCACCGCCGCCGCCGCTTCCGGTGGCGCCGCTCTGTCGACTGCCGTCTCCTACTGTGACCAAGTCGAGTGAGTAAATTGGCTGTGCTTAGTAGTAGTAGTAATATTTTATAAAAAGCTCGGCATAACAATTATTTCCTTTTAGAAACCAAAAAAAACCCAAATGACACCACTTTGAGTGGTTTTAAAAATACGGTTTTTTTTTTATTATAACGAGCTAAATATAACTTAAGTGCGATTGTCTTCACAGGAAACGACAACAGCGGCGAAGATAAAGCCGAAAACTTGGTCGTCGACAACCGTCAATACAACAACGCGGCTTTGCTGGTCGAACAACAATTGAACGTGTCGACGGAACAACAGCGTCGTGCCACACCGTCGCCAATCACCACCAACGGCGGTGGCGGCGGCACCGCGTCGTTGGCCGCATCTTCTGCGTTGGACTTGCAACAGAAGCAAAACTACGAAGCCGGAATAGGAGCGGTGGACAAGTCGCCCAGGTCAGCCGGTCCGGGTCAACAACAGCAGCAACGGGACAACGAACCGACCACGACGACCAACGTTTCCGGCGGCGGCGGCGAACACGGTCAAATGGACACGATGGACAACGCGGACGACGACGACGACGAGGACGACGCCAACGTGACGACCGGCACCAACGAGAGCCACCAGGACAACAGCGGAGACGACGACGACACGGACGACGTGGAAACAATGGTGAACATGCACAACCAAGGCCAAAACCAAAACGCCGCCAACAACCATTCGGCCACGCCAATCGATCCGGAACGTTTGAAGGCGTTCAACGTGAGTGGCCACATTTCTTAACCTAACTTAAATGCATGCAATTAACGTCATATGCTATCATATATGACAAGTCCTTTACAAAGGTTGGCGATAAGAGAAAATGGGGAGAAATCAGTGGACAGGAGGTACGATAATGATAAGCAAATTTGTAATTGGTCTCCCTTGGACAATCTTAAGTATCGATATTTATAAGAGAAATGATTGATACTTGATAGGGAATGTCAGTGAAATGTATTCTATGTTTTTTCTTATTTTCATCCTTTTGTAAGTTAATGTCTCACTCAGGGGGAGGATAAGGAAGTTAATGTACAAACTTTTCGATTTTAATTTATGGAGCTCTATTACTTATTAAAAAACAATTCAAGTTACATCTAAATTTGTGCTGGAAGGGGAGAACTTTTTACATGTTAATCCGCTTAATTACGTCTCTGATCTATTGACTTGTTGTACAGAGAAATCAGTTTAGTGACTTGTTCGAAAGTGATTTTATCACTTTTATTTGGACCATCTTCTGGCTTCATCTTAACCTAATTCATTTGCTCATTATAGATGTTCGTCCGGTTGTTTGTCGACGAAAACTTGGACAGGATCGTGCCCATATCGAAACAGCCCAGGGACAAAATCCAGGCCATTATGGACTCGTGCGCCCGTCAGTTTCCGGAATTCGCCGAGAGGTCCCGCAAGCGCATACGAACCTACTTGAAATCGTGCCGTCGCAACAAGAGGAGCATGGGCCAACCAGGCGTAGTGACCACTTCGTCCGGAGAGTCACCCATATCCAGTTCGTCGGCCACCAGCTGCTGGTCGTCCGCCACGGCCGTAGACAACCAACAGACCGCAACGGCTCCAACACCGGTAATTATCATCCGCTAATTCACCTTTGTCCAATCCTTTTGAGTGTCTCTGCACCCGCTTGAACCGAGTGGATTCAAACCGGTCTTGAATCAGTCTATGACCGTTGGTTTTCTTAATTGCAGCGGCCTACTCCGGCACATCTGACCAGCGTACAAGCCGAAACCATATTGGCTCGGGCATGCTCGAACGAGTCGCAAAATGCCAAGCGCATGCGTCTCGGCCTGGAACCGTTGGCGCAGCCTTATCCCGTGTCCGGCATTGGCCATCCAATGGTCGACCATGGCCGCGGCACCGTGGATTCGGGTTCCGGTTCCGGCGACGACGACGACCAAAGCGGAAACGGAGCTGCCGGAGAAGACGATCAGCCGGTGAAAATGGAAACCACCGATTCGGCTGAAAACGACAAACAGGCGTCGCCGCCGCCCTCGTCCATGGCGGTTACAGGTTTCGGGTCTCCCACGGCCAAGCCCGGGTTGGAAGTCAACGGTCAACCGATGAGCATCGACGGAGATTGCGCGCCAGCCGAGAGACAAAAGCTGAAGGCTCGCCGGCACTATCGCGGTGGCTCGCCATTCTCGCCGATCAACGGTAAGGTTTTCTAGTCTACATACTCGCCTAAGTCGCTACTAACTTCGTAGAAGTACTACTTCTCGCGAGAAACACCAACTCTTGTGCGCTTCTATTCTGATCACCCAGAGTGAGCCGTGTAAATCCGGCTTATTTCATATTCAATTTGTGATCCATCATTGATGATAAATTCACCTAATGTTGTTGGATCCCGAGATAATATTGATTTTGGACTCGGGCCTCCCAATAATTGTTTTTTTCTCGAGCGGCATTTAAAGGTGCCGAGCCAGGTAATCAATTTCTCACTAGTTCTCTCTGACTTAGGTCAGCAAGACGATTCCTTCTAGCTGTCACTGCAGATTACTCTTTGTAGTTCGTAGATGGAAATTTGGTCGAGTTATGTTAGGTTTAGTTGCTGACAATTTTTTTTGGGAGCCTTAGAGGGTTTGAAGGATCTGGAGCCACCTTCTAGCTCCACCTGCGATGGCACATTTCCGATTGGTTCACATTTGCATTCCGTTTGTCCCTTACCCAAACCCACGAAACCGATGCCCGCTTGATCGAATTTTCACCGTGCGTTTTTCCATTGCAGGACCCACCGACTTGAGTATCAAGACAATGATGGAAACTCCTTCGGGCATGCCGGCTCTGCTACAGCCTCAGCCGTTGCCGCTGCAGCAACACCACCAAGCGCCCGTTCCCAGCAGCTGCACGGCCAGGATGCTGCTGACAACCTCGCCGCCTTCCACCATACCCACCATGGCGGCGCTCCAGCAACAGCACCTGCTGGCCGGCACCGGCAGCGCCCTGGGCTTGTTGACCGCCCCGCCGGCGCCCACGGCCGTGCCCACGCCGACCATCCAGCCGCACATCAAGACCGCCGCCGGAACCCACAGCCAATCGCAGCTGTCGCAAAAGCTCAACGCCGCCGACATGATGACCGTCCGGCAGCTGATCGCCGGATACAGGGAGTCGGCCGCTTTCCTGTTGCGGTCGGCCGACGAGCTGGAACAATTGCTTTTCCTGCACTAGAGTTAGACAATACAACATGCACACACACACACACTAAGCGTTTCCCGGTAAAAAAAAAAAAAAAAAAAAATGTTTTCAAAAAATTGGGTCCATCTTCAATTACTTTTACAATAGTCCAGTACGGTATACAATTATTACACAATTCATCATTTTATTACGATTACTATTATTATTATTCTACGTCGGCTGTATAACGTATTGTACTTTAAATGTAATGTATACAAAAGAAGTTTTTAATTCAAAACATAACTGTAACAATTATTACTATTATTATTATTATTATCACTACTATTAGAACAAATACTACTATTATTATTATCTTAATCAAAATGTTTTTAAGCTGTTTATTATTATTATTATTATTATTATTATATATATATTTACTATAGTCCCTTTTTGAGATATGATGTAATAGTACAAAAATTAAACTAATCGTCGTCGTGTACAGCAAAATAATAACAAAATGAGCATTTTTTTTTTTTTTTTTTTGTAAGATGTAATTATTGTAAGCGTTTGCTCAGAGTTGGCCAACCTAAGCCAAGGAGAGAACCTAATCTAACCGTCGGTTTTAGAGTCTGCGCTAGACTGAAAAGGTGTTAATTTCAAAAGACAGCAATAGTCCACTAGTGTGTTGTCCGTCTGTACGCAAAATATCTCTGGAACGGTCGGACGAGTGTTTACAATTTTTTCAAAGTAACTTAACAATTATTTTTTCCTTCTCGGCGTGAGTTGTGGGCAATCATTTACAATACAGAAGGGATTTTGATGATGGAGTTCTGGAAAAAAATTTAATTTAATTTACACGTTGTCTGATATTGTAAAATAGCATAAGCTAAACTGCGTCGCGACCAAATTGTTATTATTTTATTAGAAACTTAACGACTTAACGAATTGCCCTGTACGGCGGGATCATCGTGTCAAGTAGGTAAAATCTATAACACACCATGTTACATAGTAAATACATGAAAAAAATTGACTGGTGTTCTGTAAATTAATGTTTTGTTTATTTTAGACACACCTGTCAAGATATCCGTCTGGTCTAATAACGATCCAACATATAATCCAGGACGGTCCGGAATATCTAGACACATGAAAAAACACAGCTAGGTATACCGATCATTTTTGAAGGAGCCTCCAATGAAGAAAACATCACTAAAATGATACATTTTAGATATACATTGTAGATAGCCTCTAAGAACTTTACCTTTTTGCCTTTTGTACAGAACTTAATGGCACTTAGTCCTTAAGTCTACAAACGTATAATTGGCTAATAACCACATATTTTGTTGAAGCCTTGACATAAATAAACATATGGGTTGTACTTGCCGAATAATAAAAATCAAAAAAATATGCCCAACAATGAAAAAAAAAAAGAGAGAAATTTGTATGCAAAAGTCGTGGGATTTTTCCAGAGTGTAATTTAAACAACTAAAACATGAAAATGCATTGTTCTCTGTTCAAGAAAAATTAAAATTGTAATAACTAAATGTAAAATTATACTTCCATTAAAAAAATGGAGTATATAAAAATGTATCACAATGCAGTGAACGGGTGGACTTGAAGGCCTCAATGCCCGAAACAGACAATTATTTATTCCAAAGACATTTCAACGACTTTCATATTTTTCGTCCACGATTTGTCAATCCTACGGATTTTAAATGTGTTTTTTTTTCTAAGGAAAAATATCAGAATTTTAACTTTAGATCCTACAATTAGATAAGAATTAGACAAATGTGGATAAAAGTGTAAATGGTGTGTTGTTCATTGGCTATGTTACATTTTTAACTGTAAAAGCAACTTGATTTTTACATTTTATGGTCAAATATTTTTGTATTGTGTTAATTGTTTTTTTCATTTTATTTTGTTACTCATTGCTATAATTTATTTCCATTTATTCTTACCTTTCAGTCAAAATTGTAAACATTTTTAAAACTGGCCCGAGTGGTATGTATAAAATTAGTCCAATTTTGAACAGAAGAGGTAAATTTCCAAATTTTTCAACCAAAATTATCAAACAATATTCTGTTATTATAATGTGTAATATATGTAATATTCTGTGTTATAGTTATTAGTTGTTGCGCTAAAAGCACCCCCCTCAGAAAGCCATGGTAAACTTGTAATAATATTTAGACGTGCACTTTTCCAAATGACAACATATGTAAAAACATAAAACATGGAATTAAAAAATTCCATAAATTTGTAGGCACAACATTTTTTTTTTTTAATGTTCATATTTTCCGAGAAAATAAAAGTGTCTTACCCAAAATGAATTACCCTGTATGTTACAAAATGAACAACTCATACACCATTGTGTCTAAGTGTGAATTTATTTTAATTTTATAGATAATTCAATTCCAACAAACTACTTTAACAGAGAAACATTTTTATAATAAGAAAACAATGAGCAGTTTACATTGCTGTATAAATATTTATAAATACAACATTACCTTCATAACTGTTCTACATATTATAATATGCTTAAAAAAACTCAATTCATTGCGGGATTGTGTCCACTGTTTCCAAAAAAAACTTGGTCTAATCGATCCACCGGAGTTTTTTGAAGGAAATAAACAAAATTTAAGAAAAAATATACTGCTTGACGATATTTAGTTTTTGGTCGTCCCTCAGTAAAGGTGAGGTGATCAAATGTCGTAGCCATTTTCCAAGTCTATGAGGAACACTTTCTTGCCAAAGACAATTTTATTTAATTTTATTACTTAACCTTCCCATTGGAAACGGTCCGACTTAAAACCATTGTTTAAATTCTGTTGATGAAAATAAGTGAAAAAAATACAAAAACACTTATCATAATATTTTCTTATATACACAATTGATATTATAAAATGTGAGTTTCAAAGAGTTAAGTATGTGAACGTAAATATGAATAATACCTATTTAAAGATTAATTTTTTTTTTAAATCTATGAATACTCGTAGGAGTGCCAATGGCAGATGTAAATAGCTAAAACCGAGTTAGTCGTTGGAAGCTTAATGTTTATCGTCTTATGTCGTAAAATGCGATTAAATGAAATGGTTTCGTTTCAGCAGGTAAAAAGTTCATAACTTAACATTTCAACTATTATGACTGGCGATTAAAGTTTATACCTCATATTTTTTTTTTAAATCGTTTTTATTGTTAAAATGATTACACTATCTTCTTCAGATACCTCTAAATTGTCTATTATCGAATACCTGAAATTTATAAGTATGTATTAACATTCCAAAAATAATCGTGTTTTTATTATGATTTCCATTTTTCATATCTTAAACTTTACCCTGATTTTTTTTTTTATAGTACTAAGAACAATTTGAATAAAACAAACTAATCATAGAGATATAGAATAGAGACTATAGATTAAACAATTTAGCTATTTAAAATTGTGAAAAAAAATACTACCTAATAGTTAAACATTTTAGCTGTAATGCGGGGCTGAGAAGGTCTATATTTTCTGCTGTTCTTAAATTTTTAGATTTTGTCTGGACCCGCGGTATCACCTTAACCACTAACTTTGGATAGTGTAAGATAAAATAATCGTCATTAACCTAACCTAACCTAACCCTAAACGTATATGACATATACATTACTGAACATTGATTATACCTAAAAAAATGTATACAAGTGATATTAAAATAAAGATGATCTTTTTTTTCAACGCTGTTATGTGTACATGTAATGTTTTCATTAAAGCCCATAAAATTCATATTTTTGTAATATTGAATACTTAAAAAGTTTTTTTTTCCAATGAAAACGTGTAATGACAATGTTGTATATTTTACACATTAATTACATATCCACTACAACGCTTCATAAAATACAGTTAACATACATTAACGAGTAATTAATTGAATTTTTTTGGGCGTTTACTTTGACATGCAACAATCAACGCGATTGGGCTATGTGCTCTTTCTCTGTGCTCCATGAATTATCATACCATTCATCTGCAATGCAAGTATTTAAATTATTATACAAATCACACTTTAAAGCTAAAATGACATTGGTGTATATAATAAAATAACAATTAGTACACTATATTGCACGTGTGAATTTTTTGTTTTAATAAAATACATTTTTCTATTATTTACTAGCATCATTTGTGTTATTATTTTAATTATATGAGTTTTATTAAACAATTTAACGTAATATTTTGCAAAAAAAAAAAAAAGTATTAACTTTTAATTAAAATGTGTTAACGAACACATTAATATAAACACAAAATATTAATAACACATATTGTAAACTTAATATTTATTCTATTTTCTGAACGTTCGTTGGAATGGGTATTGCATGAGAGTATAAATGTTAAAAGTAATCAAAATCCGAGTCATTCGTTGTGTATAATTGACAAGAGTGACAGAATGCGATTAAATGAAATGGTTTCGATTCAGCGGGTAAAAATGTACTAACCTAACATTTAAATTACTATGACTTATTAAAGTAAAAAAAAAACCCTCATACCTTTTTTAAACCATTGTTTAAATGTTGTTGAATTATTATTTTAATTACATGAGAATAATTAAAAAAATTAACGTAATATTTGGCAATAAGAGTATTAACTTTTAATTAAAATATGTTAATGAATCTATATAAAAATAATACCTACTTAAAATTATTATTTTTAATTTTTCCTCAATACTCGTGGGAGTGCATATGACGTGAGAGTATAAATGTTGAAACCGAAAAAGTCGTTGTGTTTAGTCACCAAAAGTTGATCATAGTATTAGTATTTCAAGTTTTCGCCTTGAACAAATTGCGACTAAATGAAATGGTTTCGATTCAGCAGGTAAAAATATACTAACCTTTAAATTATTATGTCTATTATGAATATTAAAGTAAAAAAAATCCTCATACAATTTTAAAATCATTGTTTAAATTATGTTGATAAAAATAAAACACAAAAACACTTATTAATTGTCATATTATTTTCTTATAAACACAATTTAATATTTTCACAAAGTATATTTATGTGAACGTAAATACAAATAATACCTAATCAAAGTTTAATTTTTTTGATTTCTATAAAATCGTTTTTACTGTTAAAATGATTACACTATAATTATACTACCCTCTTCAGATACCTCTAAATTGTCTGTTATCGAATATCTGGAATTTATAAGTATGTATTAACATTCCAAAAATAATCGTGTTTTTATTATAATTTCCTTTTTTCATATGTTAAACTTTACCCTGATTTTTTTTTATAGTTCTAATAATAATTTGAATAAAACAAACTAATCATAGAGATATAGAATAGAGACTATAGATTAAACAATTTAGCTATTTATAATTGTGAAATAAAATACTATCCTAATAGTTAAACATTTTAGCTGCAATGCGGGGCTGAGAAGGTACTATATTTTCTTTGCTGTTCTTAAATATTTTTTAGTTTTAATTTTGTCTGGACCCGCGGTATCACCTTAACCACTTACTATGGATAGCGTAAGATAAAATAATCGTCATTAACCTAACCTAACCTAACCCTAAACGTATACGACATATACATTACTGTACATTGATTATACCTAAAAAAATGCATACAAGTGATATTATAATAAAGATGATCTTTTTTTTCAACGCTGTTATGTGTACATGTAATGTTTTAATTATAGCACTAAATTATATTAAACAAAGATAATACCATGAAAAATAGAAATAACAATTTATGGACACAATATTTTCAGGTATCCGGCGCAATAAATGATAGAAGTCTAAATAACATTATCGTCATACTTGTAGCGGTAATATTATTTTTAGTAGTTCTATATTATAAAATGGTAAACCGGAGAAAGACATTGTTGGCAAATCGAATACCGGGTCCAGATGGGATCTTCTTCTCGTTACCTGTTTCAATTGGAGCCCCTGAAAAACTGTGGTTGCATTTTTTTAAAATCAGCATAAAGTAAATACGCAGTGTTCACGTCTGTCCAAGACATTTTGTAACCATTTTGGATATTTGAGTGCAACAATAATATTTTGTATGTTGTCTTTGTAATACAGATACAAGAATACCTTAAGCAAATTGTGGATGTTAGATCACTTATTGATATTTCCTAAGAACCCTGAAGAAATTGAAGCGGTCGTTACCAATCCTGACATGTTCTTAAAACCTAAAGAATATAATATGTTAAACGAATCGATTTTGGGCGATGGAATATTTTCCAATAAGAAGTTTGATGAATGGAAAAAGAACCGGTGATTATTTCGTGTTGGCTTTTATTTATATAACATTATAATTATTTAAAAACAAAACGTTAAAATTAGCAAAAAAAAATAATACAGCGTTAATATGTATAACTCGTTAAAAAATGTTAATAATTTACTTTTAATTGGTAGGAATTATAATGTCTCCTTCAAAGTCACCAACAATCCAATAACATTTTAATTCGTTTTGATACCTATAGAAAAATGGTAGCTGTGGGGTTGAAATATTCGATGCTCAAATCGTTCATACCAATATTTCACGAGGAAGCAAAATTCTTGAGCCAAGTATTGTACGAGAAACGGGAAATCAATTCAGATGATTGCGAAATAAGCTCGGCAATCGGTATGGCGACTATGGAGATTATCGGAAGAGCCGCTTTAGGTGTAAAATTGAACGCACAGAAAAACGCCAAACATGTATTTGTGGAGAATTTCCGTGTCATCCAAAAGGTATACGCTCAATGTTTAATAGCTGACTGATAAATGACTGATATTTTCTCCGGGCCCCTTAGATAAATTAGACAAAAAAATATAGTGCCACAACTTTTTAAGTTCTCCTGGTTGGCAGTTGTTGTAGGTTTTTTTTTTATGGAAACTAATTTTGAAAACCTCCTTTCTGCGGACCAACTGCTTCTCGTGAGACTTAAATATAATATGCTTGGCTGTTTTATGCAAATTCGGAATGCTATTGACCTATGATTTTTTATTTCCAAAGATCAGTTGTACCAAGATCGACTTCATTGTCTTTGAAAATCATTTATGATTTCGTTTCAAATGCAGTACTCACAAAATTGTATCAATTCATTATTTACTAAACAATCTACATCGATTTTACAAAAAGTTTTTGATTAAGTATGTTTTTTGATATTTACATCATTATTTGAGTTATTACTTTCATATACCATAACCGACAAACAGAGTCTTGAGGTTAATAAATAATGACTGGAAATAAATTGATATGCTTTTTATCGCCGAACCAAATTTATCTATGACTATATAGTGTGTTGATCTCGAAAATTTTCAATCAATGAGCACCCCCCCCCCCCCCAGAATCGAGGTTCTGAGTCCATGGTTTCTCTTGCCCCCCCCCCCCTTAATTCGGGTCTGCAGTGTAAACGAATCATCAACATTACAAGGTTTAATTTATAACATTAAAGCACTTTACCGATGATGTTTTTGAGCTGGCATGTCAGCCTTTTGCAATGAAAATTTGTTTTTTTAGGTTTGGGCGTACCGAGTGTCATATCCGTGGTTTCTGGACCCGAGTCTGTTTAAGTTGTCGTCGATTAAACGTAAACACGACATTAGTCAAAGTAGCATTTACGACTTCGTCGATGATTTAATTCACAGAAAGTATGCAGAATTGAAGGATAATATAAACAGTCAAGAAGAACCCGACGAAGAGTGTATTGGCATTAAATATAAATCGTACATTGAGATACTGCTCGAGAATGGACATCAGATGTCACTTAAACAATTACGACATGAAGTAATAACTATTATGGTCGGTACGTATGTTTTTTAAAAATGTTGTTTGGCAGACTAAAATCAACCTAACCTAACCAGCCCGGGTCTCAGTTTGCATTCAGTTACCCCACTTGTTGCACGAAGTGTCTGTAACTGCAGTCTATGTACTGTGTATTTTTTTATAATTTCAGTCGTATGAACTTGAAAAAGTAGTTGCTACATTAGGTTCGGATCACAAAAAGTTTACTGTAATGCAATTAATTGTTATATAAAATATGTTTTTTGTTGGTCATGCATTGTAGGGATAGAGATGACACAGATTTACAGAAATTATTGTAAATAAAAGGCATAAAAATCCCTGAAAGAAACACAGCACCTCACTTTAATGTTAATGATAAAATTTGATAATAACCGGTCAAAAATAGTGCAAAAAGTGAAAAGTCACGGCCACGGTTTGATCATTAGAGCGTTTAACACACTAACAAATACACGACGTGTACCTATGATAAATCAATAAATTATAATGCATTTCTCCTTTAAAAAAATTACAAAATACAAGAGTATAAAGACAGATGTACTTCCTTAAGAATATCCATTAAAATTTGCTTTTAGGAGGTCATGAAACGACGGCTATGGCAATACCGTGTATAATATTTATGTTGGCTCATCATCAGGATGTACAAAATAAAGTAAACTATAATTCGTTTTACAAGTCGTAAAATTAAATATTATAATATTCTTGGTAACGAAAAAATTGTAAATTTTTCGTTCTTGCTCGTAAAATAGGTGTTGGAAGAGTTGATGATAATATTTTCTTCCGGAGATCCGGATCGACAACCTACCTTAGACGATTTACAAAAAATGGATTACTTGGAACGTGTAATCAAAGAAACTCTGAGACTTTATGCCGTTGTTCCCATGTTCGGCAGAAGCGTTGAAAAGGAAACAATGATTGGAGACTATTTAATCCCTGCGGGTACGGTCGAAGACAAATATAGTTTGATGGATTGCCGCGTATGGCGCTGAAAATTACTAAGCCAAATCATTTCTAAAAATATCCACAGGGTCGACGTTTATGATTTTTCCTCCTCTGATACACTTAAATGCGGAATTCTATCCGGACCCAGAAAAGTTCAATCCGGACAACTTCTCACCTGAAGCATGTAGCAGTCGCCATCCGTATTCGTTCATTTCTTTTAGTGCCGGTTACAGGAATTGTCCTGGTATCAGGTATGCAATGCTCTCGATGAAAACTGTCATCTCAACACTGGTCCGGTCTTATCGTTTTCGTCCGTCGGATAAGTGTCCCAAACCTGAAAATCTTAATTTAATGTTTGCTTTTACAAAAAAGTTCGTCGACGGCGGGGTACACGTTAAACTCGAAGCGAGGAGGTAATCAATTACTCAAGCTGGGTTATGAATCAGAATTATTTACCCGTTCGGATAGGGGTATTCAAATAGTTGTGTAATCATATTGGATAGGGTTTCGTTATTTCACACATTATAAGTATATCGGTTTTAGTTAACTATGGTTATTAAGTAATAGCTACATATATCTAATATTAGGTAAAGTAAATGTAATTATAATGCCATACCAATTTTTGAATATAGTGTTTATAAAACCGTATAGTGTTGCAGACAGCGAAATGTCACATCGTCTGACTAAAATAACGATGACATTAATTAACTCTAATATTGAAAGCTTATTTGAAAAATGGTACAAGTACAAATTTACCATTTTACAGAGAACGGTTTTGACTTTTTTTATTGAACTAATACATAAAATATGTCTTAAAAACGAAGAAAAAAATATATTTTAAGAGTTTATAAAAAATATTTGGAAAGGCGAGACAACACTAACAAATTGGCATATTTCATTATGTATGGTTACAGACCAACCAAATCTAAAAATTTTACTTTTATTAATTAATTGTAAGTGTAAAAACTTGCTAAATCGACTGAGTAGTTAACGAACTACATAGTTTTAAAATTAAGGAAAGTGCAAAAAAGAAGTAATTATCTTGGAGACGCTAACATAATATATAGGTGACACATGTCTGCTCTCTATTATTATTTATTGTAGTTGCGTTTCAAAAGAATTATCATAGAAGTACTATTAAATTCAGGTAAATATTTCACCGATAGTAAATAATAATCATAACCTCCTTTATTGAGTAACAAATATTGCCAACATTGCAGTAGTAGGTATGTGTAAGTTGTTAATCTACTATATATTTAAAAAAAAGTCTATTATCTTCTAAGATAAGCGGACCATAGTTAATAAATTAATCGGTATTGGTTAGAGTTTTATAACTTTTTAGATTTTAGATATAACGGTGGTTTGGTTAACCATTTAACTATACCTAATGAAGTATGCCAATTTGTTAGTGTTGTCTCGTCTTACCAAATATTTTTTATAATCACACATTTTCATAATTAAATATGAAAGAACCAGGTTGGTTGTTGAAAGAAACCATTGTTAGTCTTGCACGATATTTTCTTCCATCTGTGCGATAAAGCAAAAAAAAAAAAAATCACTTTCCAAAAACTAAACATAATGTAGATTTTTTTGAATATGATTTTATTGAGACCAATATCGTTAAACTTACTTTTACTGACTTAGGTAATTATTTTACTATGTATTTATAGATCACCCTCAACTGATATCAATATTTTTAATAATACGGTAAGTAAAGTTATACTTACTTTAAATGAGTAACAAAGTCGAATAATACAATTAGATGATGCTCTATTTAGTACGACCTAATTTATTTTTAATGAATTAGATAACAGTAACAAGGTGGTTGTTGTATCCTTGGACTTAAAAAAGGCATTTGATACTGTGAATCGCAAAATATTACTACAGATATTGCCCAATTTTGATATTAATATGTTATTTATTTTGCCCTATATCAATCAATATTCCAAAATGGAATGGTAGTATGGGGGGGGGGGGATTAGGCGATACTGTTCTAAAAAAATTGCAAGTAAACCAGAATAACATAATAAGAATTTGTTTAAACAAGAACTCCTTGCAAGGTTCTACGACTCAAAATTATAGAGAGCTGGGTATTTTACCAACCAGATTTCTTTATAAAAAAATTGCCATTTTGCTAACTTTTAAAAGGTTCATACAAGGTAGAGATTATAAATTTTTGGAAGGTAATAGAGAAAATATACGGTATAATATACCTGTCAAATTGTTTTTATAAATCTATTGGTCAATCTTTTGTTAATTATTTAGGACCTGTGTATTTTAACTCTATGCCGTGTCAATATAAAAAAACCAGTACAGTTGTGTTGGGGCATAGTGGGGACGGGGAGGTCACAGGTTTACAGGAATTTTTAAATCTGAAAGTGATAAAATCACTTTCGAAAAAACGCTTCGATGCAAATCGGTAGTTAGTATTTTCAAGCCAGTAACTAAGCACAGTATAAACCAGCAAAGTTAGAAAGTTTTAAATTATGGTTCTGTATTTACAAATGAGCATCAAAGCGTTAATTTGAAAGTGATTTTATCCGAGAGGACTAGTACAGTAGAGTATAGGCATAATGTAATCAAAGCAATAAGGAAACGGAGAGGTCACAGGTCTACAGGAATTATTATAAATAAAAGTGATAAAATTGAATAAAATCATTTTACTAGATTGACAATGTACAAAATAAAATGCAACTAAAAAAACCTTTTCATAGTTCCTTAAAATGTAAAGGGTGGGATAGTGAAACGGGTTTTCCCCTTTACATACATTAGAAAATCGCCGTTTTACTGCCTCATCCTGTATATTAATTTCTTGTTATTTTCTAAAGAAAAATCGATTTTCTTACACTTAAATTAAAATAAATCGTATACTGGTACTGAGATAGAGAAAACAATAAATTTTACCTACATATATTACTTATTAGTTAAATATTACTAACGTGTATAGCCACTAGCGGTCGGTTGTTGCCTGTTATTTAACAATAACCTTTTATGGAGATTTTAAAAATTGTGTTTTTTTAATAACAGCATAGGAGCAGTATCATGATGTTAAATGTTCACGAGATTTGATCTAGTCATAAAATAAAGTATTATCATTTATGACTTAATTATTATTAAAATTTATCTTAATTTGAACATAGTAATAAAATAATGAAATATTTTGTACAAAATTAGAGCTACAAGTTGATAAAATAAAAAATTTAAATTAGCACGAAGGAGATTATCTAATATTAGACAATTTAAACAATCAAGCGTGAATCTCTTTAAATGAATAACAGTATAACGATATGCAAAACATAAGTTTTCCTTTAAAAAAATTGTGTAATAAAAAATACATTTTGAGGCGGTATACTGCATAAAAACCAACACTTAATCTGAATCCAAAAAACAACAGTCCTCTCCTTCGGTAAGGTTATATAACGCAGGCTATAAAATAACGAGATAACGACAGTGGTTTTGTCGTATCAGAATCATTAAGTGTCTGAATAAGTACACGGATAGGTTTTTTTTCCCAATAAATCGAGTGTCTACTATAATCAGTTACACGATTTAGTCGTCTGTGATATCATGTAATAAACACAATATTACGATACCGATCATTGGGCCCTAACCTAAACTAACACGGATAGACGTTACCAACTGATAGTTTTTAGTGTCTGTTCGTTTCTCCCACCTGGTACACCGGGTTTATAGTTAAAAAAAAAAAAATTGAACTTTGTGTAAACTTAAAGTCAAAAGTGTTACTTGAGCACAAAACTTAATAGTATCATTCTGCATAGGTATACATCAAATTGTTTTAATGATATGATCAATTTTTTTTAAAGATTTTAGGTGTTTTTTGTTAAAATATACGAAATCTGCGAAAACACAGTTTCCCGGCAATTAAAAAAAAAACTGTAGTGCCGAATTTTTTTCCCGTTTAATATCTTATGGATACATATGAGTTCCAACTACTGGAAAATTTTCAACCCAAAAGTTTAAAAATTACGGCTAAAAACCCCGAAAAACAAAAAAAATTTTACCCCCCCCCCTAAGGGGGTGGGAAATGAGTATAGTTTAAATTTGACACAACTGACGTGTGCGGGCATACCAAATAATTTATTCTTATACATTTCAACTCAATCCGACTCTTTTTCTCGAAATTATAGCCAGTAAAAGTTCTAACTTAAAAACTCGTACGGTTTTTTTTTGGTTTTTTTAACTTTCGTCTGTGAGAAAAACTTTTTCAACTTTTACCCCCCCCCCCCCCAAAGTACAAATTAGATAAAATTTGTGATTTATAGAGTTGCTATTCGAAGGAATTGGTCTAGTATTAAAAAAGTTACAGTGTATACAGCTAAAAAAAAAAGCCCACATCAGAGTAAAACCAATACCTTCTCGCTTTGCATCGAAGCTAAAAAATATTCACTATTCTAAAAGTAATGGTAAAGAAATTGTGTATTATTAATTGTTTTCTCAATTAGTTTAAGTCATTCATATGTTTCTGTTATATTTAATATTACATCTCATACTCACAATTTTTCTATTGTTAAAATTTTTAATTTTTTTTTTGGTTTTTTAACTTCTATTTTATTTATCACATTACTTTGTTACTTAATGATATAATTTGTGTTCTAAATTATTAATTAATTACTCTCTATCTCTAACACAATCTATTATAGCTTAAGAGAGGTAGATAATCATGTAAACTAACTTGATGTTTTTGTATTCTATGTAATTTATGATAGTTTTTTAAAATTAAATTAAATTAAAAAAAAATAAACATGGTATAGCAAAATTATTTGGATTCTACGCCACTCACTCATAAACTTAAAAATTTTAAGAAAATTATTGAAAATGGCCTATTCCCTCACACTTAGTAAGACGGCACGAAGTCACCTTAACAAAAGCCAGAATGCGACATTCTCTGTTAACACTAGCATACCAAATAAATAAGGATCCTCCTACCCAATGCGATAATTGCCAAGTCGACCTAACTATAACCAACTTACTTAATCCAACATACAGGGTGTTCCAGCATGAAAGGTAAGTAATAGGTGATTGGACATCTGGAGGATCCCCAAATAAGCCCCCCGTTTTCATTTTTTCGATAAGTCAAAAATTGAAGGTTTCGGCAATTAAGTAAAAAAACAATGACTTAAGAAAAAAAAATTACGCCCTGTTATTCAGTGCTAAAGCTCACCTTAAAAGAGGGGTCACATCATTTTCAGTCCCTTTCGGCTTCTAACTCAACAAATGATAAGAGAAAAATGATTAGAGACCAGAAATAAATGATAAGTGATAAAAGACAAATGCTAAGACATAATTGATAAGAGATAAAAGAAAAGAGATAATTGGTAAGAGATAAATTATGAGAGATTAAAGATAAATGATAAGAGATTAGGGATAAATGATTAGAAACAAGAGATGAGAAATAAATGATAAAATATAAGTGATAGGAGACAAATGATTAGAGACTAGAGGTAAGAAATA